AGGCAAAGGGCTGGGGGGGGGGGAGGGCAGCCCGGCCGGGTTTTTAATAAAGGATGTGCAAAGCAAATTTGTCTTGCATTTTTCTCCTGATGAAATATTAACGCCTGCTTTAGCCGTCTTGGCTAAGAAGCATCAATAATCGGCACAAATCGGGGCTCTACCGCATGAAGCGGCAGACGCCGCCGGTTTTTGCCAGAAATTCTCCCTGTCTGCAGCCCCAAAGGTTTTGTAAGGTGTTAAAAGGATTCGGTGTTTAGTCAGACCAGGGCATCTCCAATGTGGCTGGGGTCTCAAACAGGCAAAGGTCCAGCCCCCGCCATCCAGGCTGGGGGCTCCCTCGATTCATAGGGTATTTAATAACGCTTTCCCCTATGGCTTGAGCGTCCTGTGAAATACCCGGCCAGCGTCCAAGCTGCGCTGGCCTGATGGAGCAGGCAGCAGTTCTAAAGGCAGGTTCTGGGCCTTTAGAATAACTCTTCAAACCAACAAGTTTCCCGGAAGTTTATTTTTAAACTTGATATTTGAGGCTAAATTTAGTAGCAAATCGATTTTTCTCCCTCTCCCCCACGATTACTGAGAGCATCCCCCCCCCCCTGCTTTGCAGCCCAGGTCTTGCTGGGGATTTGCTCCCCCGTTTTATGCAAACACAGGAAGGTTAAGAGGTGCTCGAAGCTCCAGCTGACATTTCCAGCCAGGCGCCGCATGAGACACGTGGTTTCCCGGAAGTTTATTTTTAAACTTGATATTTGAGGCTAAATTTAGTAGCAAATCGATTTTTCTCCCTCTCCCCCACGATTACTGAGAGCATCCCCCCCCCCCTGCTTTGCAGCCCAGGTCTTGCTGGGGATTTGCTCCCCCGTTTTATGCAAACACAGGAAGGTTAAGAGGTGCTCGAAGCTCCAGCTGACATTTCCAGCCAGGCGCCGCATGGAGACGCGTGCGCCGCGGCGCCGGTTGCGAAGTGCCGGGGTAAATGGAGGAGCTGTTGTGCGGTGCTAATCGGCGCAGGGTGCGTCTGTGCTGGAGTGTCGGCGCTGGGAGCTACTGGACAGCGGCACCTGACGGCAAATTTCACATTTATGGTTGGAGAGAGGGGAAAAGGAAAAGGAAAAAGGAAAAAAAAAAAAAAACCAAACCACAAAAACCAAGAAGCAGGGAAAGGAGAGGGTTGTAAAGAGGTCTCTGAGCTGGGGGTGAGGCAGTGCGGGGGCACGGTCCCTGGCTCCCTGGGTTTGTTTTTTCCCTGTTTTTTTTCCCCCCCCCCCCCGCCCCCCACCCGGCCTCCCCGCCGCTGGGCTGTCGATGAGCACGGCCAGGAGCTGCCGCGCAGGCTTTCACCAGCGTCGCTTCACCAAAATAGCTGAAGCTTTTAGTTCATAAATAAGTAATCTGGGGGGGGTTTTGGTTTGGGGGGTTTTGGTGTGTGGTGGGTTTTTTTTTTTTTTTTTAAGGTAACTAGTGTGCAACAAGAGGCTGCCAAGACCCTGCTGTATGGCCTGACTATAGGAAGAGGACAGGTCCAATACAGCACGTGTGTGTGTGTGTGTGTGTGTGTACATAAACATATACATAAAATGTAGATATAAAATATAAAACTAAATATAAATAAAATGTATGCAGGTCAGGCATTGGCTGATGCTGTTACCCTTATGTAACTCGGACCACATCAGTCTTAACCGGGCAAAAAAGCAGGTTAAGGCTCTGTAGGAGAAAAGAAATAAGAAAAGGGGGGGACGTGCTGTAGAGCAGCGGGGTTTGGCACTAGCGAATGCCATCTGTGGGGGCTGGAGCGCCTGCTGGCTGCGGTTCTGCTCGGCCATCCCCAGGAGCGAAACCCTCCGGCCCCATCCCGGTGCCGGGAATGGCCTGGCAGACACCGTGCAGCGGCGCGCCCTGAGCCCAGCGCGGTGCCAAGCACCGGGTGGGCTGCGGCTGGGCTCCGGTACGGGGTGGCTCCGGGCAGAAGGGTGGGATGGCATCAGGCAGCAGTGCAGGCTGGTGCCGGGTGCCAGTACGGGCCAGCAGTGATACGGGCTGTTAACAGGCACCAGAACAGGCTGGCAACAGGCACTAGTACAGGGCTGGCACTGGGCACCAGTTTGGGCTGGCACTGGGCACCAGTTTGGGCTGGCACTGGGCAGCAGCGTAGGGCTAGCGTCGGGTACCAGTGTGGGCAAGAACTGGGCATCAGTAGGGGCTGGCATTCGGCACCAGTACAGGCTGGCGCTGAGCACCACCAATACGGGCTGGCGTTGGGCACCAGAACAGGCTGATACTGGGCACCAGGACTGGCTGGCATCAGGCACCAGTTTGGGCTGGCACTGGGCACCAGTATGGACTTGCATTTCACCCCAGCATAGGGCTGACATCAGGCAGCGGTATGGGCTGGCACTGGGCAGCAGTAGGGGCTGGCACTGGGCACTAGTATGGGGTGGCACTGGGTGCCAGTATGGACACCAGTACGGGCTGGCACGGGGCACCAGAATTGGAGGGCACCAGGCACCAGAATTGGAGGGCACCAAGCACCAGTATGGTCTTGCCTTTGGCTCCAGTGTAGGACTGGCAACGGCCACCAGTACGGGCTGGCACTGGGCACCAGTAACGGGCTGGCACTGGGCACTAGTATGGGCCGGCACTGAGCACCGACCAGTACAGGCTGGCATCGGACACCAGTATAGGCTGGCACTGGGCACCAGAATTGGCTGGCATCGGGCACCAGTATGGACTTGCAGTTCACCCCAGCAAAGGGCCAGCATCAAGCAGCAGTGTGGGCTGGCACTGGGCAGCAGTATCGGGTGGCACTGGGTGCCAGTACGGACACCGGTACGGGCTGACGGTGGGCACCAGGATGGGCTGGCATCAGCCACCAGTTTGGGCGGGCACTGTGCACCAGTACGGACTCGCATTTGGCTCCGCTGCAGGATTGGCGCTGGGCACCGGTGTGGGCGGGAGGCTCGCCCCATTCCCCGGGACCAGCTGGTGCCTGCAGGGCCCCGTGGTGTCACCCCCAGCCCAGGGGATGTGACATGACCCCGGGCAGCGCCAGGCCACCCCCCCCTCTTTGGGCTGGGACCCACCAGGGGGACATTCCTGGGGGGGGACACACGATATGGGGACACCCCAGCAGTGCTGCCCCCCCCCCAGCCCAGCCCGGGCCGCGGGGGGCAACGAATTAGGGGCGAGTT